TGGAGACCCGAACAGGGATCTGCCCAATGCAGGACAAAGTGGCTTAGCGAGTAGCTGCATCCTGAGAAGGACCAGCGATGACATGCGTACCGTAACTGGTGGAGTTAAAAGTAACAGAGTTATCTACCGAATCAACAAGGTGTTTATGGAGGGAGAAATCATCAGGAGGAGTAGAATCCAGATGGTGGAGATCAAAGTATTTAGCCCATGTAGCGGGACCAAACAAGGCGTTGTACGTATTAGAATGGAAAGGGATCGTGCGAGTGCGTCCTTGGTGGGGACGGCATTGAGAACCCCCAGAGTGAGACGGGGTAAAAGGCGCAGTAGTTACAATGAGAGAAGGAGCTGTGCCAAAGGACGAGGTGGTCACCACCAGGGGGGGGGGCTGGGAACTCGACCCTTCCTCAGAGGAGGGAGGGGAGCTGAGGAGAGTAGTCAGGAGGGTCCAAGGAGAAGCAAGGTCGGGGACCAATGCATCGGAGGATACAGAGCCTCGTTTTCCAACACAGTCCAACTCGGGGGTTTGGTCGCCCACCCCAGGAGCCTGAGAAGTACAAGAGGAACATTATCTGACAAAAAAAAAAACAGGAAAGACTTTTATTCACGAATGTGCCCCCATACCCACCACGGAGCCATAATTAGAGGCAGGACACCCAACAAGAGACATGTTGCCGATCTTGCCAGGGGACCCCCAGGGGTGCGACATGAGTATACGCCCCTCAAATGCCACCTTAAGAACCGTCAGTCCGTTGAGATCGGAGCTTGCATGCATGGGTGTCAAGGGGAGACTCATGAAATGGATTGAAGACTACCTCACAGGGAGGAAAGCCAAGGTCTGCTTCAATGGAGCAATCTCAAGAACAATGAATGTAGAACTCGGTTCCCCCCCAAAGAGGAGTCTTAAGCCCCACACTATTCAATGTATATATGAACGCCATTGCAAACTTTGATTTTCCGGAAGGAACACAACAAGTTGGATATGCAGATGATGTTCTAATACAAGCTCCCACCTTGGGAAAAATTAAACAGTCCATTGAACTCCTCGGAAGGAAATATATTGAGCTCGGTTTCACTCTCTCCAAAAACAAGACAAAAGCATACTCTAATCACAAGCGAGGAGAAAATGAAGAACTACAAATTAATGGTGTAACACTTGAATGGGTTGACCACTATCGGTACCTTGGCATCATTGTCGGCTCTAACAAGGGAAAGAAAGAGGAGCTCAACCAACTCATAGGAACATGCAAACGTCGACTGAGGGCACTGAAAGCCATGACCTGGAATGAACAGGGAGCCTCTATTGCTGTGCTAAAAATGATATACACAGCCTATGTGCGCTCCGTAACAGACTATGCCAAACCAGTCTTATGCACCTACTCCCAAAGCGATATGAAAAGGCTCGAAAGCATTCAGAATGAAGCCATGACAATCATTCTTGGAGTTCCAAGAACTGCCAAAACGTCCAATCTACGAGAGGAGTTGTCCCACTCCAGTGTTAAAAGCAGAATTAAGGAGCTGAATGCTAAGCTTGCAATTAGGATAGCCAAAGATCCCTATTACAATGATAATGATAAGAAAAAACTGAGTTCTGTGCTACTTTCAGGGGGAAACGGGAGAAGCAAAAAATGGCATCACAGATCAGTCTGCTACCTCGAAGAACTTCACTTGCTTGAGCAAGCCAATGAGCTCATCCCCGTAGAAAGGTTACTTCTCTGGGAGGATGACTCATGCAAGATTATCATCAATGAAATGGCAACGAAAAAATCCAACATGATACCACAAGAAATGAGGCACAAGTATCTCGAGGAAATTTATAAAGAAGCCGGTGATGAACCAGATGAAATCTACACTGATGGATCATCTAATCCTGTCAATGGCAGGGCTGGTGCAGCATACACGGTTATTAAGGATATTGCTTTCCAATGCAGAAATGAAGAAAAAGCGCATATTAAGAACTATGCCTCTTCAACACAAGCAGAGCTCACTGCCATTGTTATGGCGTTAAGGTTTCTTGAACGGAACATTAATGGTGCAGTGATTTGCACCGATTCAAAACCAGCACTGCAAAGCTTAAGTAAAAATCGGGCAGAAAATCTTGCAATAGTCGCTGAAATTAAAAGAGCTGTGAGAGTACTTACCAATTACGGAAGAGTCATCAAGCTTCTGTGGATCCCCTCCCATGTTGGAATATGCGGGAATGAACGAGCAAATGTGCTGGCTGCTGAAGGCGCTGAAGGAGACCATATTGAATACTTCATACCCAAGACTACTACAAATTAGAGGTATTGTCAGGCAACATTTTAAGAGATATATACAAGAGTTGTTACATTCTTGTACAGCCACTAGTACGCGTAGCGTTTCGGGCAAGTCCTTAATCCTATGGTCCCTGGAATACGATCCCCTGCCGCGAAGAATCGTTTTTTCATCCAAGTACACATTTTACTGTTGCGTTAAACAGAGGCTACAGTTAAGGAATTGCGCCCAGTAAATCCTCCCCGGCCAGGATACGAACCCATGACATAGCGCTCGCGGAACGCCAGGCGAGTGTCTTACCACTACACCACGGAGACTAAACCACATCACCGTGATAAGGTAACTGAGGAAAGGAGGATAGAAGCACAAACCAGTGAATCTGTACGATGGTACAACATGGTTGCAGCTGGCAATCCCCATCATTATGGACGAAGAGGAGGAGGACGTGGGAGAGAATCAGTAATAGCAAGAATCCGTCTTGGATACAAATATCCATGGAGATATGGAATGGAAACAACAGTTGATCAGTGAAATTGCAGAATCTGTGGTGAGAGTGATGGACACCGCCTTGGCCAATATTTACGTGAATGTGAACACCTGAGAGACATTAGAAATATGTGTAGAATAATAAACCCCACATTGTTTGAGTTTATTTATTTATTTATTTATTTATTTATTTATATATATACAAGAAGGTACATTGGGTTTGTGAGAATACATTGGATAGTACAGTATTTACATTCTTGTAAAGCCACTAGTACGCACAGCGTTTCGGGCAGCTCCTTAATCTAGCAGATAATTTTAAGTAGGTAATTTCAATCAGAATTTATAAATGATAAAGATACATTACAAGAGAAAAATGAGATGAGAGAGATAAGTAGGTATATTAAAGCACATTGTTATATTAAAGCTCTGATTGATTACATTGACAGCTTGATTAGTAATTTAAACAAGGTTAATAGACACCATACAGCAGATTGACAGCACATATAGGACAGCAATGATCACAATGGTAAAGATGTTCAGATTGGGTACATAAAGATTGGGAGACTGGGTAGCAAAAGATACAGATAAACAAGATTTATAAACACCATACAACAGATTGGCAGCACATATAAGAAAACAGCAATGATCACAATGGTAAAGATGTTCAAATTGGGAACATAAAGGTTGGGAGATTGGGTAGCAATTGATACAGTGCATTTTTAAGGCAAAAAGTGAAAAACTATGAAGATGAAATTAGGTACTTTTTAGTATTGATTTTGAATGATGTAAAAGTTGGACAGCTTTTCAATTCAGTAGGGAGTGAGTTCCATAAACTGGGTCCCTTTATTTGCATAGAGTGTTTACACAGATTAAGTTTAACTCTGGGGATATCAAAGAGATATTTATTTCTGGTGTGGTGATAATGGGTCCTATTACATCTGTCCAAGAAGAGTTTCAGACAAGGATTTGCATTTAAGAACAGGGTTTTGTAAATGTAGTTGACACAAGAGAATTTGTGGAGTGAGATTATGTTTAGCATGTTTAGGGAGTTAAACAAGGGGGCTGTGTGTTGTCTGAACGTCAGTTAGAAAAACACTATTTGTCAAATATTGATACTGTTCTTAAAAGATTCCCGCATTTTGCACCCGCAAAATAACGTAAGCTTTTAAGGGTTGACAGGTGTTAATCTTCTTGTTTGAGGAGCTGTTCACTTGAGACAGTTAAGCAAGTCCCAGCTGTGTCTGGGTGCAAGTGACAGGATGAACATCCCAGCGGGTTTCCTTCCTATTGGGGAGTGTTGTACATGCTGCTATGGCGGTATGTCCACTCATAAGTTGAGTGGCGCTGTCCAATAAACTCGTCCCTCAAGGCAAAATTTAAAAAAAATAAATTTAATCGGGTTCAGTGACGAAAGGAGGATTATTGACAATAAAACGGTCCCCTTGTGCGAGACGTTGGGTTTCTACAGATCTACGGGTGCAAGAGTATGCCTCCCCAAACACTCGGATGTCAAAATAAAAGAAGGCTGAAAGAAGAATCAAAACAGGCAAAAGGTTGGCGGGGAATGACAGTGAGAAATGAGAAGAGGGGGGGGGGGAGAAATACGAAACAGAAGGAAAAGTTAAAGTTGTCCAGCACAATTTGAGAGGACAGCAGCAGGAGCACAAGGCTACAAAAGGACAGAGGACTGTCCAAAGGAGCATCACACTCCAGCAGGCGCCCACCAAGCCCCCTGATGGCAACAACGAGCCGGACAGGGAGGGGAAAGTACTGGTGTAACTGCTTCGTGAATCCGGGTCCTGGGCCCTAGGACACTACCAACACTTTCCATAAGCTGAAATTCGTTACAGAATTAGTTTTTCTAATTTTCAGTTGTAAATTAACAGATATTTTCAATGAATGAGACATTTCATTATTACAACTAATTTAGCAACCTAATCGAAATATCCCAATAACCTTTTAAATCTGCTTATTGTTGGTAAAGCCAAGCATAGTTAAGTTTGTAATGAATGTATTCGACATTGTAAGCCAATATACATAGTGGCAGAATCCTTTCTATATATATTCTTAAAGAGATACAAATTCACTCTGCTTGTTAGGCAAAACGGTCCTAGCTAACTGTACCTAGCAGTGCAGCTCTGGTTGCTAACTCCAACACTTTAAAGCCTCAACCGAGTAGGTAAGCAAACAAGGTCCTCAAAACCTTGCACTACTTGACATATACAGAAAACAACTATAAAAAATGAAGAGAGTACACTCACCAAGTTGGGTGTGAGAGGGTCCGGGTAGGAGAGGAGAGTCTGGTAGGGCACCAGATGGACCTGGTCGAGTCCCTGGCGCTGCCACGTCTGCGCTACCCAACGGGCTACCCCCAGCTCCCCTTCCGTTCCGCCCAAGTGTGGCTCAAGCGTCAGGTGT